TTAGCAATCTTTGTAATGGGAACGTGGAAGAGAGAGAGAGAGAGAGAGAGAGAGAGAGAGAGAGAGAGAGAGAGAGAGAGAGAGAGAGAGAGAGAGAAGGGAGGGAGGGAGGGAGCGAGAGAGAGAATATTACAGGATTGGTTCCTCTTTTCTCTTTCTCCCTTTCTGCTTCTGGCTTTCTTGCTCCTTGCACATGGAGGATCCCATCCATGTCGCTGGAGTGCCCCTTCAATAAAGCAGTTGAAATTTAAAATCGTAATAAAAATTGCCATCAGTTCCCTGAAGAGTCACATTGATCCTCTGCAGTTACAGCTCACTCAGACTTCGATGACAATTGGCTCAGACTGGTGACTTAGACAATCTATTTGGCTAGTAGCGTAGTAGTAGGTGACCGGTCTATCACGTCAGTACCAATTGGACCAATTGGACTGTACGGCAAAACGAATGAATGCATACAACGGTAAAGTTGAGATCCGTACAGTGCGTACACCCTCCTTAGCATCACCCACAAGTTCATTCTCTCTCTCTCTCTCTCTCTCTCTCTCTCTCTCTCTCTCTCTCTCTCTCTCTCTCTCTCTTTTTTTTTTTTTTTTTTTTTTTTTGAAACCTTAACACAAGCAGCCGCTTCTATTCTGGGGGGACATCAGTCCAGGTACTTATCCCCGGCAAGCAAAACAGGAACGGCAATCATTGTCAAAACAGAGATGGGGAAGGCAGTGATTGCAGTCGCCGCTGAGTAGCGAGCCCCCAACGTAACGTGATGAATTTCAAATTGCTCCAAGCAAAATTCGTCAGTAGAAACATCAACAGTAATTTGAACAACGGCGGCTTCTGTGCTGCATAATAGCGTCTTTCCATAGATTTGCTCATTTAAGCAATGAGGCAGCGACTCCGGCGAGGCCCACAAGGGGGCCACTACCCGGCCACAACATCACACAGACTGGTTACACTTCGGGCCTTCGGCATATTGTGTTCATGAGTCCATTAGGTCAGTAAAGGTGTTCAATTTTGTGCCTCGGTCTTGAGGCTGTGTTTTGTGAGTTACGTCCTTAAACCACCAGTTCTTCCCAAAGACGTGCTGGTTAACAAGCCACAATTTTAGGAAATGTACCGGTCACTACAGGAGCTCCCAAATTCATCCGACTAGAAGATGTTTCTAGTCTATATTCGTTTCCACGGCCTATAGCTGGGCCAAATACTGGTGGTTTAATTTGAGAGTACATGTTCCCTGTGGTTCAATGTACGTGTTAAACCGCCTTGCTGAAAAGAAAACTGGCCGCCTACAAAATTTTCGGAGGCCCAGCATGATAGATAAATAGAAGCGGCGGCAGCCCGCCTCCGAAAAGGGCCCGAAAAGGGCCCGCGGCCGATAGCTGGAGCCTGGATGTACTGGTGGTTTAAGGAGCCTTGCTCCCAGGATAGAAGATTCGGATGGTGAGTTCTGGATGAGAGTTATTGGGGGGGCCTGCTTCAGATCTGATCCATAATACCCAATAGCCAAGCTGTACTAGCCCCCCCACCCCCCACCCCCCACCCCCCAACAAGATCTGCCCTCTGCCTACATAAGAGGGGCAGTTTTCCGCAGAATTAGGGTATAAGAGAGGGCTGTGCCAGTCTCCACCCTCACCTGCGCTGACTTCTCCCTACCTGAAGAGGCACAATCTTAGACAAAGTTATCCAGTGCGAGAGCGAAGTGGTACCAAGACCGATCCTCCACCAGCTCTGAGTCTCTGACGTCTCCCAATCTCAAGAGGCACGGCCTTGCACACATAATTGTCTAGTGGAACGAAGCCGTACCGGGGTTTACCAGCCATCTATTCCCTCCCTACGACTCTACAGGTCTGGTTTTCTTTGGCAATTGGGGATCCAACCAGCCGCACTTCCATCAACTCCAGTCAATAATAAGAGGGGTAATTGGAGAAATAGGCTCAAATAGCGCGTTTTCCAAGTTTCCCAGCGGAAACGTTCTTGGGGTTGCAAATATTTTGGCTGTGAAACTACCAGGGTGTCTAAACCTGCAATAACAGATGGAATTTTGCAACGAAACTTGGGTCCCGCCAGTAATTTTGCTGTGAAACTACCGCAAACGCCCTATTTTTGAAACTTACCTTTAAACCACCAGTACTTCCTAGAGTCGTGTCCGTTAACGCGCCACGATTTTAGGAAACGTACGGGCTACTACAGGAGCACCCAAAGTCATCCGACTAGAAACGTTTCTGTTCTTTTTTTCTCCGCGGCAGATAGCTGGGCCAAGTACTGGTGGTTTAATAAAATGGTGACCTTTACGACCCAAAAAGGCACTGTTTTTAGTAACAGACATTGACAGAGTTATCCATTATTATCGTTGATTGACAGAATTATCCATTAGTATCATTCGGTATACCACCAAGTCACCCACAAGTTCCACAACCTCTGCTTTCAAATTTCAATTGGTTTGAAACCCCCAGTACTTGGCCCAGCTATCGACCTGCCTTTAGGGGTTCTGGGTACCGGACCACAATGGCTGGAAGCACCAGCCAAAAAAAAATTGAAACGGTACCCCCACGCTTCGACGAAAATTGGCGCTCAAGGGCATTCCAGGCTCGGCATCGATAGCTGGGCCAAGTACTGGTGGTTTTAACTTTTCTGGCTATCAAAAGTACAGCTGCACACCGTAGCTGACTATGGATCTCCTAACCTGACATGAACGACTGTCCACAGCCTCAGGTTTTGACGTCCTCATTCTGCGACTGCTAGAAATTAAAAGAAGGGGTACTTGCAGAAATGGCACGTTTTCAAAGTTTCCCAACGGCAAAATTTTGTTCTCTGCGTTTGAAACTTACCTAAGGTCCACCAGAATGCAAAGTAGTTGGGAACCAGCCTAAGGTCTAGCAGAATGCTAGGGGTAGCAGCCTTTTTCTCTTCTTTTTTTTTTTGAAAAAGCATCTGGCAGCGCAACTGTTGGAGGTGAGAAAGAGTGGCCGTCCAACACAGAGATTTGCTATAGCAGCGGCAGCAAATTTAAGAGGCCAGTACCTTTTCCAGGTATTGGCCGCAGGCCCTGCGCTGTGCATCTGGCCGCCACGGGAGGCCGAGTGCCCTCGGAGTCTCGGCAAAATGCCTCTGAAAGGTACTGGTGGTTTAAGGTTGTGAAGTAAATGTAAACAGAGGAAAGAAAGAAAGAAAGAAAGAAGCAGCTGTAAGCAAATGGTTGCAGCATGCTCTTCGTTCTTACTTCTATATCCAACAAAACTCCAGCAGCTGCACTCCCTGTGGAGCATCCTCGAGGCCATCCGTTAAAATTGAGAGCGCAGAGAGGATAATTTAGCAATTTAGCATGGCTACTGCGCAAGGATGACCTCCATTCATCGAGAAATGGTTTACAAAGGGTGGGGGAGGGGGGGAGGACAAGGAATCCCAAGACCGTAGTAACCGTAAGGCTGTTGCCAAAAAAACAACAGACATAGCAACACAGAAGCACGTTCAAAACACACAAAAGACCCAAGAGCCTACTAGCTCAGTGAGCACGGCCATGAACTGTTGAAATACAGACCCGAGTTCGAACCTAGATGACGATGGAACTTGATGAGTGAAAACCAACTACTAATGAAATGCCTCGGGCCGGTCAGCTCAATGATAATAACTGCTTTTTTTTTTTTTTTAGCCCAACCAATTCAATTACCTGTCAAAACTCAAGGCCGTCGTCCTTGAAAANAAAAAAAAAAAAAAAAAAAAACCTGCTGGGGAAAAAACAAGCGGGAGAAACAACAAATAAACAAAATAAACAAAAAAAACAAAAAAAACAAAAAAAAACAACAAAAAAGACCCTGCAAGCATATCGCTCCACTAGGTACGCTCGGCAATCGCGTGAGACTTTCGTTTGGCCGTTTTTTTAGTGTAGCTGGCTATTCCCTGCCTTAGCTCGGACGCAGATCGAAAGGTCGCACCGGTTCATCAGTGTGCGAGCAAACAACGACCTGTTTGCGACGTCTGTCGCCTGCGAGACGTGTGAGGGAAGGTGCAGGCCGCTGGTGTACGCTTGGGAAGTTCGGCGCGCAGTGGCGTTGACCGATTGCAGCCTGTTGACGCTGTGCGCAACTGATCCCCCATCACCACGCTTCGGGCACTCAAGGAGCGATCGGTCACGATCAACCGCAGCACTAGTAATGGCTTCGCTGAGTCAGCACGAACCTGGCTTCAAAACCTGGTCACGTCCATGCCAGCATGCCGGCACGACATGGCTTCCACTGCCCTTACCGAGCCAACATGCCTTCGCTGAGTCAGCACGAACCTGGCTGCAAAACCTGGTGACGTTCATGCCAGCATGCGGCCGCACGACGACATGGCTTCCACTGCAGTTACCGAACGCAACGGCTACATCTGGAGCTGAACGCTTGTGCTGAGGAAGCGGGAACCTGGCTGCAAAACCTCGTCATATTCATGCTGGCACATCGGCGCAAAATGCCGCCGCAGCTCCTCTGCCGTGACAGCCCCTTCCTCTGAGGTCATGCTCACACGAGGTCTTTTTTGCACTGAGCTCTGGACACAATTACGGGCAGATTCATCCAGCACTGGTCGCAATTCCAGTCAAATACATTTAGGAAACTGCTAGTGTGCGCATATGCTCTCATTCCCCCCAAACAAGTTACACACCCTCTTTGCAGCGGCTCGGTCCGATCCGAGCGGTCGGCTCATCCACAAGACAAGATGATACACCGCGATCCACTACTCAGAATCCTACGTGCATTTGGACGCTTTCTGGACCCCCTGCATTCCAACATTTTGAGCGTATATGGGGTATATTATGAGCTCCAGATACGTATAGACTGTTGTGTAGTGGAGCGAGGCCCCTTGGGATAAACACTGAAGAGCGCTTTGTATATAGAGGGCTCATCGACTGATCCTATGCCCTGTGCAAAAGATTTTCCCCTCACTGACACTTCTTCTTTCTCCCTCTCGGTCCTTCTGCTGCCCTCAGCGCTTTCGTTCTCCTTACTTACGATTGATTACGATCGCCTGCCATCGTTGTGTGTCCTGCTATCGGTGGGCTTGCAGCTGGCGTGTGCGCGTGTGTACTACGCGGCGTCGGCGTTACGGTAGTGTAGCACTCATGGCCGCCTTCATGGGCAAGCCCGGTGCAAGCTCGGCGATGGCTGCTGCCTTGCTGCTGACAGTCTTGATATCCCTTTCGTCGCAGCTAGGCCTTGTGGTGGGTGAATCATGCAACTTCTACATCAAGGGCAGCAGAGGTGCAGTTCCGACAGTTACGCTACCGGGCAACAGTGATACTTGCGTAGCTGGCCCTATCGTTCACTACGTGGGCGGGTGAGTATTACTTGGTCTGACCAGTCGAATTTTTCCTTCTTCTTCTTGTTTTCAGTGTTTCAGATTTTTTCTTCTTCTTCTTGTTCCCACAGTGTTTCCTTTCCGTACTACATAGTTGGCCATCTCCTCCTCCCCCGACTCACAAGCATCCCAAAATTTCTCTCTCGCTTGCAACGCGTACAAGTTTTGTACTGCACCCGCCGGGGTTCGATCCGCGATGGTGACGGTGGAGCCACCTCGCTTTCCACACACTTGCACATCCGCCTATATATATATATATATATACGATTTACCGTTTGTCCCACAGGCTTCGTAACTGTGTGTTGGTTGTCGCAGGTTACCTGAACCTGGACCTGCGGAGTTCTTTGTTATTTTTGCGATTTCTCTTTTTTTCAGGGGGAGTAATTGGCAGATAGATTGTCCAATATGTCGATGGGTAAAAAAAACAGAAAACAAAAGAAAAGGAATGAAAAAGTCTAGGCTAGTGCTCGGAGACGCGTGTGGCCGTCCTGTCCTCTCCGCTCTCTTTCTCCCATCTCTCTCTCCCATCTGCTGCTCCCCCAACCACCCCTCCCCAAGAACGTAACAATTTGCTACAGAGACTTGAGGTCGAAGGGAGGTGAAAAATCACGGAGGGATGTATGATTGATTAATCCTAATATCGTTTTTCCACGACAAGGCTCAGAGGGGTTGGTAAATTAATTCAGACTCGCATCGTTGATTGCATCGTTGATTGCGTCCGATTCGATTCGATTCGACGATTGGTAGCCCCCAGCATCCAGAAACTGGCAGAAGAATGTGGAGTTGGTCATCATCGTGAACGTCGGTCGTTCGCTTCATGAGAATATTCGGATTGGGTGACCTTTTGGCAGTGCCTGTTGTATTTATTGACATTTGATATCTGGTGTTCAAGCGCTTGCCTCTCGTATGATTTTAGTATCATTTTACTGATTTGCAGCTGAAGTGCGGTGTGGACTCTGCGCTCTCTTTTTTTTTTTTTTTTTTTAACTCTACGCTCTCCCGTATCTTTCAAAGTCGTCGTCCGTGAGCATAATGTTAAATGTTGGTCGGTTCAGTTCCGCGCACGAAACCTAAAAATCCCAGACTTGCATCGTTGATTGCATTTACACCTGCATCGTTGATTGGATCCTTGATTGGATCGGTCAGACATGCATCGTTGATTGGATCGTTCCGATTTGCATCATTCATTGGATAAGTCAGACTTGCATCCTTGATTGATTTCGTCCATCGTTGATTGATTGCATCTCTGATTGATGTCACACATCGTTAATTGATTGCATCCTTCATTGATTGCATCGTTCGGACTTGCATCGCTGATTCCATCCTTGATTTGATGGGTGATGACGGAACTCATGTTACTACAGCTTAAAGAAAAGAAAAAGAAAAAAAAGGAAAAAAAAAAAAAAAGCGAAAGAGAAAAAGCAACTAGCATTGTTACATCCCGCAGGAGGAGACGGACTGCTAATCTTTTCATCGAAGTAACGACGAGTGCGTGTGCTTGTACCAGTCGGCCATCTGGCAGCCATCTGGCAGTCATCTGGCAGCCATCTGGCTGTCGTATGTCCCCAATATCTTTTTTCAAGGGGGGGGGGGGGGGGGGGTTACCTAACCTCCACACCCGAGACGAGACCTTTGTAATCTACGGTCAGAATAAGAGAATCCGGGACAGCGGGACGTGGGACTTAGCCCCGGGATCTCGATAAAGATCTGGCCGGAATAATGCCATGCCCAAGAATGCTGATCTCGCGAAGTCGATATATTTCTGCACAAAGGGGAAAAAAAGAAAAGAAAAAAAATCAAAAAAATCTGCACGGGTTCGAAATATCTCCTTTGCTCTCAAGAAAATAATGAAAAATTAAAAAATATTAAAATCGCAATAAAGAAAAAAAAAGGATCCCTCCACGAGTTGCTGAGGGGTGACAATCCTCACTATCCTGCTTCGATTTCTGTCGTAACTTAATGCACTTTTATTTATTTATTTATTTATTTATTTATTTATTTATTTATTTATTTATTTATTTTACTTTCTCGCATCTATCTCCTCTGACCTGATTGACTATCGGTAAGTGTCCTTACAACGAGGGCTGGGAGTAGGAAAGTGTTGGCCTGGAATTGGGATCCCAACGCGCGACTGTTTATTAACAATGTTTCCCCTTTTTTTCTTTTTCTTTTTTCCCCACATGTATGCTTTTTATATTTGCGTTACAGGGTGGAGAAGGCGACGAAGTACGTGAACTCGGAGAGGTGCGCCTTTGGCAATTGCACGGATGGTCCTTGGAATTGCGATGATTGTCAAAAGTGTAATCAAAATCTCTATACCTACATGGACCAGGTGTGCAGGAGAAACCCGCACGATCCGATTTACGGCGAGTGCGTCAAAATCAACATCACTCAGGTTACGTACCAGGACAACACCGTGTGGCACGGCCTCGACTGTATCATCATCAGGATCAAAACGAAGTGATGAACAAGATGAAGGAGGATCAGAAAGAAAGGCGACCACAAGTCGCCGAAGAGGACAATTCCCCGAAGTCTCATCGAAGTATCTTCGTCCGCGTCGGTGAAGTTTCTTCACGTTGGCTGTGGAAAGACAGTTACAGGCACGAAGAAGATCATGACTATAACAATAGTAATCCTTCAGTCAATCAATGGATACCGGGAGGAGGGGAGGAGAAGAGGAGAGGAGAGGAGGAGAGGGAGAGATCCTCTTCATCTCTCGTCGTCGTCCTTCGCCTGCTCGTTCCCTGGCCTCCCGTACAACAGCGTGGATGACATGTGGATGGGAAGACGTCAATGAAATGGGTATTGAGGAACGGGGAGGAGGAGGAGGAGGGGGAGGAGGGGGAGGAGGGGAAGGCGACGGTGAGGAGGACGGGGAAGAGGAAAGGAAGACAGGGAGGAGGAGGTGGAAGAGGAGGCGGTAAACTGACAATGACGGTGGCATGGTATCGACAAACACCTCCTCTTCTCCTCCTCCTGGCCCTCCCCTTTTGTAGTAGCTTCACATCCTCCAGGAGGGTTCGTCTCCCTTTCTGTTTTGCGTTTTTAATCGAAACTCATCGCGTCTGGGAAACAAGAAAAAAACACAAAAAAGGGAACGCATCGTCTGTACTGCCGGCCGCCTTGGGGAAGTTCCTACAGGTTTTAGGATGTCCAGGTTCGTCATAGGCTCATAGCCTCATACGGGGAATTGACAGAGTAATGTCATAGTCACACTACTTGACTACCGAATTTGGCCACTAACTCTGGTCAGATACGTCCGGGGTCAGCATCGCTGTTCCTTCTGGAACGTGCTGCCAATTGCTCTTCATGTCTACTGGTCTGCTTATAGCTGCAGTGTGACCAGAGGGGTTGAACGGAGTATCACGCCTATTCGCCATATCCGGCGTTCTTATATTCAACTTCACTCTCAAAAATTCGTGAGAATTGGCCTTCGACTCAGCTCCAACCTCTCCTGCTTCCCTGGTTTCTGATGCTCCCTCCCTCCCTCCCTGCCTCCCACCCTCTCTCTCTCTCTCTCTCTCTCTCTCTCTCTCTCTCTCTCTCTCTCTCTCTCTCTNTCTCTCTCTCTCTCTCTCTCTCTCTCTCTCTCTCTCTCTCTCTCTCTCTGTGTGTGTGTGTGTGTGTTGTGTGTGTGTGTGTGTGTGTGTGTGTGTATGCGTGTCTGTGATCCACTTTGTATTTTTCGTCTCTACTAGGCAAGCCACTATGGAAGTGGTGGTAAGATAGTGGCCCAGATTGAGGCCAAGTTGAGGAGAGGATTGCTCCAATTTGCCCAAGTGGGGACACTGGGGAACACCTCATGGTAGACATCAGTAATCAATCTGTGATGAAGTTCCGAATGGTCCTGTATGACGCCTTCTCCTATATGATCCCGCTCATCATGATGGGCGAATTGCAGTAATGTCCGTCGGCTGTCGGAGGGTGCTTGGCCTCTGGCCTCAGTGCCTCCTTAGACAAAGCACTTAGAGCCTGCGGGGTCCTATTCCCTTTGGTGTAATACCAGCCCGTAGACCTGTCAGGAAACTACCCTCTTCACCCGAATAGAACGCCCGGTCAATATAGCTGTATGTGATGCAACTTTCAGTCAAGATACGGCCATAATTACCGGGCGTTCTATTCGGGTGAAGACGGTAGTCCAGGAACGCCTTTATGTACAGAAAAAGGTCTGTGTGTTAGCAAACATGAATACTTTTTTTATCCCCCGACGGCAGTGCAGCTGGCATTTCAGTTGAAAGTCCCCTTCCGTTCTCATGAAGAACCGCAACCCCAACGGGTACAATTTATTTGGCCATCGGATTCCCCCAGGTGGTGCCTGACCCTAGTACTAGAGCGAAACTAGCCCGACCGGGAAAAGCTGCCTGGAAAGCCATATTTTTGCGATTGACTTTGAACCCAATATTGACAATATTCTCGCAGGAAAGGGCGTAGTACTCAGAGTAGGACGTTTTGGGCTGAGCTCTGGACGTGATTGCCGACAGATGCATCCAGGTCTGGTCGGAATTCCGGTCAGGTACATTCAGAAAAGGGCGAGAGTGAGTATGTTCTCATTCCCCTGCTGTTACACGACTTTCAAACTTTCTGGGCTGCGACTCATTCGAGCCTCCGTCGGCTCATCCACAAAATGGTGGGACTCACTTCAGTACTCAACATTTTACGTGCATTTGGACGCGTTCTGGGCTAGGTGCACTTTTTCTCAGTCCGAGCCTCCGTCGGCTCATCCACAGGATAACGGGCCTTCCTCCCTTCACTGCTCAACATGCTACCTGCATTTTGGGAAGTTTCTGGACCACGTGCTTTCAAATGAGTCCAATATCCTGAATTCATCCATACACGTAAGAGTATTGTGTACTGGAGTCAGGGACAATCCATAAATAGTTGTGTATATATACAGACAGGGATCATCGATTGGTCATATGTCCTGGGCAAGAAACTCGCCCCTTCTTTCCTCTCTCTCTCTCCCCTCTCGGTCCTCCTATTTTGCAGCCCTCACTGCCCCTCAGTGCTTCCATTCTCCTCACGATTGCCTGTAGTAAGCATTCTGCGCTTCCAGCCAGCCTTGCTCGCATCTCCCTTGTGCGCGTGCGTACCACGCGGCGCATGCAGTACTTATATTCATGGCCGCCTTCATGGACAAGCCCGGTGCAAGCTCGGCGATGGCTGCTGCCTTGCGGGTGACAGTCTTCATATCCCTGTCGTCGCAGCTTGCTTTGGGTAAATGCAATTTCTACATCAAGGGCAGCAGGGGAGACAATGTCATTTAATTCCGACAGTGAAGTTATGAGACAACAGTGATCGTTGCGTAGCTGGACCTATCGTTCACAACGTGGGAGCGGGCAGCCCGGGCGGGTACACATTCTTCCCCCAAGTACAACGTACGGTCATTACAGCTGTATATAGACTGAAAGATACCCCCAAATACAGCTATAAGGACCGTACGTTGTATTCGGGGGAAGAAGGTAGGTCAATTCTTTGTATCAAGTATAGAGGGGAATTCGTACGCCCCTCACAAGCATGATCCCTTTCTCTCTGGCTTCCAATGAGTGGTTGTGCGATTGACCAGGCTCAATGCCTGACGCCGCTGACAGTGATGGTGGGGCAACCTGGCTTTGCAAATTTACTTTTATACGTTATTTTTTTTTCTCGCAGGCTTCGCTGGAGCCTAGGAATGTCCTGTCTTGGTGGGTGGACAGTCCTGTCCTCCTGTCTTCCCCTCTCCGTCTCATGTCCCATCTCCTCCGCTGACCCGCACTCCCCAAAGTAACTTTTACTTCAAGTTGGTTCTGCACTCTCTAAAGTAACATGTCCTACAAACTCGAAGTAGAAGGAAGGTGAAAAAGAAACATGGGATAATTAGCGGAAATTGCCCACGTGGAAACGTTTTTGGTTAAGGGCACCCAAACCTTTTCCTTTTGGGGAAAGGGTCCCTACGGGAGAATGAATCTGGCCCAGGTACAGAGCCACCATGTTCATGGTGCGGGGGAGAAGGGCCACAGCAGTTGGGACCCGATCTTGGCCGCCAGATTTTTGCATCCGGTGGCCTGTGTTGCCCGTGGGTGCTCTTCACCAAGCCCTGCAAGTTTGGGCGTCCTTTACCAAAAAGATCTCTGTGTGGGCTCTTTCCACCAAATTGAATTATCCTGAAAACATGAATGATGGAGATATAATTATCCTTTGTCCGACAAGGCTCAGTCAGGGTTTGGCAAATTCAGACTTGTATTGTTTAATTGCATCTGGATGCCAGAGTAATCAATGCTGGCAGGCTTTTTCTCATCCCTTTCCTTGGCATCTTCTTGATCCACTCTGTATATGGGACGCTGGACCCATTTTCCAGCAGGTGAAAGCTCCCCACCATTAGATGGAGCCTCTCCCCGAGTACCAGTGGTACCTTCTCTTACCAGTACCACTAGCAATGCAGGGGGTGTTTTTTTCAACAAAAAACAAAAACAAAAGAAAAGGGTGATGATGGTGCTGGCCCCCTGCTGAGATGAGGTTCTCTGGAATTCTTCGCAAGGACAGAGTTTGGGAGAATGGATGAGATTTGGATGGAGGGAGTTGGGGCGGATGCGATTGGCGCCGAGTATCTTGGCGGGTACCGGCCACTGGCCACTGGCCACTAACTCCATCTGGATCAGCTTGAGGTTCTTCCTTCGATGACGAAGGCAGGAGGCAGGACTGTTCGGGTTGCATGTTCTTCCAAATTTGATCTATCCTGGTTAGCCCGGAGTTAGTTCCTTGGCTTCTGCATAGCTCTTTTCATTTTCATTACCATCAAAGGATGTTCCCTGCTCAGCTAATCCCCTGGATCCCAGGGTAATCAATGCTGGCAGGGGGAGGTCTTCTCAACTTTTCTCAAAAAAGATCCTTGTTGAAGCTGTAAATGTCCTTATGGGATGCTGGACCCCGTTTCCAGCACGTGTTGCTCGGTTACAGTTTGTAATTGCATTCGAAACTGCGTTTTAGCAGTTTAGTCAGGGCCCGAGTTTCAATTGCAGTTTAGTCAGGACCCGAGTTTCAATTGCAGTTTAGTCAGGGCCCGAGTTTCGATTGCAGGTTAGTCAGGGCCCTAGTTTGTAATTGCATTTGAAACTTGGGATTGCTTTTTCTAGCAGTTCAGTCAGGCACATGGCCGTTTCTTTCTTTCCTGTGTCTTTTTTTTTTTTTTTTTT